TCGCAAAAATATATGAAAACGTAAGTCAAGAGAAAACAAATCCTTTATTATATACACGAGAGTTATCTCTCAACTGAATATATTTTTTCAATTTGTTTTTATTTTCAAGAAATAGATTTTCTTTTTCCATTTTTGGGAACAAAAACAATATAAATATTTTAATTAATTTTCTTTTTGTTTTCTTAGTTCTGTAAGTCTTAACTGGATTTAAAGATAAGACAGGTCTTTTGTGGCCAAACATTTCTATTGTGGTTTCAATCATAGCTTAATTGACCTTTTCCTTCCCGTTTTATTATAGTCTACACATCATTTCGGAAAGGAAAAGCCAGATGCTATTTTGTCATATGACACAGGTTTTATTAATTAATTAAATGACAATCGTTTGACATTGAAAACTTAGTAACATAGACAAAAAGCTTTAAATTAGCAAGCTTACAAAATATTGTATTTGTAAGTTGATAATTGAAAGCTTTTGGTCTCCATTACTAAATTTCTATTGTTAAACAATTGTCATTTAATTAATAAAACCTATTAATAGCTTCTAGATAGCTTGCTAAATTTACTAAAATAAACGTAGAATATAATGTGATACTTCATACTGTACATTACAATATAATATACATATTATGCAATTTAATTTTTAAATTTATTTTACTTTACTATAAGGTTCTATAAAATTTATTTAATACTGTACAATATTTAATACACAATGTACCTGTATCCAGGAACATTATCAAATATATAGTTCTATAGTTTATACTAGGTTAAAATTAAAAATTAAGGTGCAAAGGTATTTAAATCTAATTTTTAAATAAGAATTAATTCATTAAATTCTGAATACATAATAGTTGCAAGAATTCAGTGCCGATCAATATTTCAAAAATATGCTCAAAACGAGTAAATGGTTAACAGATTTCTCGTCGCAAAGTCTGATACAAAAACGACTAAAAGGAGAGTAAGTAATATATGAAATGTTGACACGGGTGCTATTTAAAGAGATGATAGTTTAGAAACATGTTTTAATCTTATTTAAATAAATAGGAAAATTACAAAATGTATTTAAAAAACCCTATAAATTCTAACCAATTAAAATATATAACTCAATGACAAATTCTATGACCTAATTATTAAATAAAATGAATGAATTTCTAGGTATTTGAATTCAATAGTTTCAGAATAATCCTATTACTGTTATATTTATAATAGTTGAATTACTTCATATTAATAATAAGCCTTACAAATAGCTTTTAATTAAGATTATGATTATTATGCATATTGTGTAAAAAAATCTTTTGACATACCATTATGTAAGTTTTATATTTATGAATCATAACTTATGATTTAATAAGTAATCGGAATAGTTAAATGTCATTCAAATGCGGTATAATCATGGAATATTTTATGTAATCATATGTTTTCTAATATCTTACTAATGAATAATGAATATTAGAGAACTCATTCACTAGAATGGATTCTTAATGTTATTTTTATTTTTCTTATAACTCATTAAAAAAGTTGGCGTAACTTTGCGGAGACAACGGTAGTGAACGCATATTATTCTGCAATAGAAAACGCTATCATATTTCCGGCAGGAATTCTGAGGGGAATGTTTTTCAATTATAATAACCCTAAGTATTTATATCATACTAAACTAATTAAATATATAGTAGTAATTATTATACATTTTGTGCCATTAGTTATTTAAACTTTGGTGCGATCGGGACAGTGATTGCACATGAGATCACCCATGCATTTGATGACATCGGAAAACAATTTGATAAAAATGGAAATAATAAGAATTGGTGGGCAAAAACCACTGATGATATGTTTAAAAATAGGACACTTTGCCTTATAAATCAGTACAATAATTATGTCTTACCTGATATTCAGAGAAATGTAAGCATTAATTAACATTTCTATTTGATATCTAAAAGATTTAATGATTTAAAAAAAAGTTAAACGGAATCAACACTTTGGGAGAGAATATCGCCGATAATGTAGGGGTGAGGGAGGCGTTCAAAGCATACCAGGCTTATGCTAAACTTTATCCCAAAGAAAAGATGTTACCCGGACTC